CTTCTTCTCTCTCTCTCTCTCTCTCTCTCTCTCTCTCTCTCTCTCCCTTCCTTCCCTCTCTTTCTCTCTTCCTTATTTTCCTTTTTCTCTGATATATAAAATTCTTACCGATCAAGAAGTTCGATCTATCGGAGAAGTTGCTTACTCGATCAACAACACCGATCCAAAATCAACGAGAGATATACATACTCGTTCAACTCGTTGATATTTACACGTGAAAAATCACACCCTTTCCAACACCCGCGTGTCGATACTGGAAAAAGAAGAAGAAAAAAAAAAAAAAAGAATTCGCAATAAATCTATCGTGAAACACTCTTCCTCGATTCGATTTCGATCCACTGCACACGGTTCATCGTTCGCTTCGCGATACATCGATCCACCGTCGTTCCACGAATCTCACGAATAACTTTCGACACGATCCTTCCTTTTTTTCTTTCCCCTCCTTCGATCTATCCTACGAGGCGTACATCCATCGTTCGTCCTTTTTTTACTTTAAGTCCGATGCCGCGTTTCCACGTCTACTCGTCGACCACCTTCACCCTCGCCGTCTATCATATCATATCTTCGCGATTCTCTCTTTCGTCCAACTTGTCTCGCGGCCACACGCTGTTTCCCGCCTACCCCCTTCGACACTTTCGTTTCCTCTCTCTTCTCTCTCTCTCTCTCTCACACACACACCCTCCCTCTATTTTTTCCTTTCCTCTCCTGTTCCGCTCCCCACCCTTTATCGTTTACTCGCTCTCCGTCGACACACGGGACAGGACCGACGGTAGTAGCCACCACTAGAAGGAGCAAGTAGCCTCCATCGCGAACTGAAACTGAAGCAATCGTGGATACAAGGGGTCCGTCCACGGTATTCCATCCTCCTATCTATCGTTTCGAACACGTCCCCCTTGGACCCTCTCTTGTATTCTCTCTCGCTCCGTCTTTGTCCCCCTTGCGTCGCGATTCTTGATCCTCTCTCGGTCTCTCCCGAGGTGAAACCGTCCTATGCGCTTCCCTCCACGATCCTCCGGGACTCTCCCTTACCCTCCTCTTCGCCTCGATCGCCACTCTCCTATCGCACTACACGCTCGACCACTATCTCGACTATTAATATAAAAGAGGGTTCCTCGACACTCGCCGCCCGGTAATTGTACGGCGTGCACCACAACCGGACTTCTATCGCTCGCTCGAATTTACTCGTACACTCGCGCTAATTCTTTCCTCCTTCACCTTTCCTCCTTCTCCTCTTTTCCTCCTCCATCCGCACACCCCTTCTTCTTCCTAACCCCCAACCCTTCGCGCTCACGATCGTGGAGATCGCGCCGATTCACCTCGGTCGACTCGAAATCTCGTTCGTTCCCTCTCCACTTTTTCCTCGCGTCCACAGTTCGATTATTAATGTTTTATATGCGAACGATATGAAATGTGCTCGACGAATCTCGAATTTCATTCGTGTTCAATTATTCGAGAATATCTTTTTTAGCGATATTTTTTTCCCCTTCTAAGATGTTGATTTTTTAAATTTGTTCGATGTATTCCTTGAAATTTTTCATTTCGTAGTTCGTTTGTTCGTTATTGAATTTATTTGATCTGGGTCTAATTCGATTTGTACGAAAAAAGTATGGTATATATAGAAAATATAGGTTTTCCAATTACGTGATTTATGTATTTTTGTTTCCACGTATATACAGAAATTTTGTAAAGAATTTTGCTCTGTTTGTAATTTTTTGAGAAATAAATGAACGAAAAATACCGTGTTTGCCGCGCGTAAATAAATTTCAATGGGGCACAAGGTGCCCGCCTTGTAAGATTTTCTTTCAGACGCGTTTCCATAGTGATGCAACATGGCGGACATACGCTTGTTGTGTATTCTTACAATGGAAACGTTAAATTAGAAAATTTGAAAGAAATTTCATATGTTTTAGATTTTGATAAACAATAATACGGAAATGCATAAAACTGATCAAAACGTAAGCT